AGAATTCCAAGAGATATGAGCCGAGTTTAGAAGAGGCCACGGCACCAGAAATAGTATTGTTTATGTAAAATGAATTCTGGAGGAAAGCAGAGAATACTAGAAGAATGTCAGTTCATGTTTTAATTTGTAAATACATTTGACTGTCAAAAATTTTTGGTTATACTTAGAAGAATGGGAATCCCCAAACAATTATGCTCATATAAAATCTATACCCAGACAAAGAAGCTGTTGTGTGACCAGAACACGGAATACTGCAAGTTTTAAAATCTGGGACAGGGATGATGTATGTCAGGGTTGTATCCATTCTCCATACCTATTCAATCTGTATGCTGAGCAAATCATTTGAGAATCTGGACTCTGTGAAGAAGAATGTGGCTTCAGGATTGGAGGAAGGCTCATTAACAACCTGCTTTATAAAGGTGATGACACAAACTGAGGTCAAATTGTATGTTATGTCTTCTCTTACCAGGTTAAACGGATGTGAGAGAGTATGTTCCTTTCCTGTTACAAAGTGACGCATGTTTAGTGGTCAGGATCCCTTTATAGCCATTATTGGGCTATTGGATTCTTCCCAGTTGACGCTAGCAGCTAGTGTATTCTCCAAAGTTTGGAACTTTATGATGTCTACATATCCTCTGTATAGGAAACTACCAAATGGATGAGCTAGCCTGTTTATTTACAAACAAATTGGCCTCTCAGTAGCTAGTATAGTATCAAGGGGGTTTTGTGCAATAACAAATGATCTACAAAGAAGTATTTGAGTGTGGGATGTGTAATCTTGCAGCCAGTCAGACATATTGGATTTGAGGGCAAAGGCCTCCTAGGTGCAAATGGCTCCTGTTAGGATGTGAATAGTATTATTGATGTGATGATGTGTTTGTCTACCCAGTTTTAAGGGTGTTGGTGCAGGAAATGTTCTCAGTGGCTGCTGGGTTGGATACTGTGTGTGTACATCATTGGCTTCCATGTGGTCGGGGGGGAGGATACACAGAACATGAATCATCCACAGGCCAGGCTTGCAAATGTGCCTCAGGGTGATAGACAAGACCTGTCTTATACATTTTAGAAAGTGTGTTCTGTGCCTCAGGGAACTGTGATAAATATGGATGGACTTGGATACATCAGCTAGGGTCTTCTGCATCAGGGAGGTGGTGGTGCATGTGGTCAGGCTTATGTGAGTAAATGCCAGCCATTTGTGCCTCTGAGAAGGTGTTGGAGGGGTGGCTGTCATTGAGCTTGTGTATTTCAGTTTGGATCTCTTGTGTCTAAATCTGGGAGTGGAGTGACTGACACAGTTAGTGTAAGCTACTTAGGAAGCCTAGGAAACTCCAGAGGCAAATTCTACTCTATTGTGTAGGGACACTATGAGTGAGATTCGACTCTTTATCACACAACATAGTATACCAGAACATATTCTATAAATGTTTCCAGAACTCTCTTAAGAAAATCTTGGCAGGACTCTTCACATATTCCTTTATTTTTTTAATCCCTGTCACTTTCTTCATGCCCCTTGATAACCAACCATTTGTAGGATATGCCTTGTCTGCTTCTGCCCTTGTCTTTTGCCAGAATATTGATTATTCACCTCATATCTTTGATGGTAAAACCTAACTCTATTTCCTCTGGCATTGTTCCAAAACTATCAGAGTTTTGTTTTGTACAAGAACAACACCTCATGTAAACTGAGATACCCTGTTTCTGAAAAATCATGTTTGTAATCCAAATCCTTGTTATTTCTCAAAATAATGACAGCAGTCTGTTCTTGCAGCTGATATCTTTGCAAACTTAGTCTGTGAGGTCTGGTTGGAAAACAATATGCCATTACAGTTATGTTGGTAAGCCAATATACTGAACAGATACTACTCTGCTTTCTTCATTTAGTTTATGTTTCTTGTGTGTGTTGTTAAGACTGAATGAACTTGAGCTAACCCTCCAGAATGTGCCCAGATACTGTATGTCACACATAAGGAGACTGCCCATCTTCCAAGGAGCTGCTAGTAGAGTCAAATCATTTGACTTTTAATTGGTATCACACAACTTCCACACTGGACTTCAACCACACCCAGAGTCTATAAATTATAGTTTTACGTAAAAAAAATCATAACTGAACACTCTGAATCCACTCTTCCCTACGATATAAAAGGTTGTGACTTTCTATTTTCATCCTAGTAGAATTTATACCAACTCACTTCACACATGCATAGACTTTATAGTATAGACATCAAGAAATATCTTAGTATTCTGTGGTATAACATGATACAATGCAAGGACATGAAGGGGCATGCTATTCATCTTGCTCCTTTTACTCTTCATTCAGTTCTCATATGTAGGATATATTTTTAAACTCTACCTAACCTTAAGAGATAAGCTTTAAAAAGCATGTCTAGGAGTTGGAAACAACCTAAGTGTCTGTCAACAAATGAATGAATAGAGAAGTTGTGGTATATTCACACAATGGAATACTACGCTGCATTGAAAAACAAGGAACTCATGCAATATTATTCAAAATGGGTGACCCTGGAGGACATTATGCTGAGTAAAATATCTCAGTCATAAAAGGACAAATACTGCATGGTGCCACTGTTACAGAAAGTGACTGCATCAGGTTTGGGGTAAGACTGAGAAAAACTGGATAGATTATGTATACTGAACTGAAATAGATGAGGGAGAGAACAGTTTAAAAGTGATATATAATAGCATATTATGATTATCACAGGAATCCAGAATTAAGGTTGCATAGTGGAATGCACTGGGGACAGGGGGGAGAGGGGTTGGTTTGGGGTTGGGGTCAGGGGGATTGTATACCAATGAAGAAGTTTATCTTTTGCTTTTCAAGGAGAGGAGTGAACTGGGGGTAGGGAGGAAAAGAAAACAGTGCAGCAATAAATAAATGAAAATCCAAAATCTCTGTAAATGTTCATTAAAATGAATGATATTTTAAAAAAATAAAAAATTAAGAAAAAATTTTTAAAAAGCATGTCTGTTCTGGCCTATAATTTCCCAACTCTAGTTATTGTGTGTCCTTGCCATTCATCTTTCTATTAGGCATCTCTGACGAGTGCCAGCATCTTCTTGCCAAAATTAGAGGTTAGTGAAGTAAAAAAATGAAAGAGAGAATAGAAGGATGTTTCAGAAACAGTAGATATAGGAATCCCTGGCTGTATAAATGGCCAAGTACTTGACTATTAACCAAAAGTTTGGAAGTTCAAATCTACTTAAAGGTGCCTTAGAAAACAGGTCTGATAATGATTTCTAAAACTTCATTTTGGAAATCATATGGAACACACAATGTACCCAGCAAGCGATATATTATCCAGGCATTATCTGTTCCTCAATCCTCCCAAGGGATAACTGCCATGTGATTAAAGCCCATTGGAGGGGTCAGCTATGGGTCGGTTCCAAATCTAAGGTACACAACAACAACAATCTGAGAAGATTTATTTTTCTTTTTAACCACCACTTTCTTATATTAAACTAGAGAAGATTCAGGAATTGATCAAAAGAGTTGCAGAAAACATAAGTAAAAAATACTGTCCTTTGTGACTGTCTTTTGTTTGTACTTCATAATTTGAAAACTAAATAAAATTACATCAGATTAATAAAAAAGTCTTGATTATGATTTTATGGAATGGTTTTGGGGAAATAAGTTTAAATTATGTGATATGTCACCACTTTAATTAAGAAGTGTTTTGCTTGGTAATAACATTAAACAAATAACTGAAGAGGAATTATGTCAATTCATTGCATAGTGGAATGTACTTGGGG